TCGACGAGGCGGGCGACGGAGCGGGGAGAGCGGCGGGGCGAGGCGGGCCCCTGCCCGGAGGAGGCGGCGGGTCGGACCGCGGCGCGGCGAGCGGCGGTTCGGCGGCGGCGGAGACACTGGCAGCGGCAGCCGGAGTGTGAGGGCGAGAGCGAGCCGCCGCCGCCGCGGGGGATGACGGGAGCCGTAGTCCGCCCGCCGCGCCCCGCCGCCCGCCGCGCCGCCCCGCGGACTGCAGCTCCCGGCGTGCCCCGCGCCCGCCCTGCCCGCGATGGGGGGGGCGCTGTGCGGAGCCGGCCGAGTCCGGAGAGAGGGAACGGGCGGCGGGGAGGGAGCGAGGGAGGGAGGGAGGAGGGGGCTCCGCGCCCGGCACGGCCCGCGGCGGGAGGAGGGAGGGAGGAGGGAGGGACGCGGATAAGGGGGGGGGGGGGCGGCGGGGGTTGCTCCCCGCCTGGGAGGGGCCGCTCCGCACCCACGAGCGGGTGGAGGCGCGGCGCGGGGGGGAGCGCACGCACGGCGCGCACCGCACACCCGCACCGCGCCGGGGCACCGGAGCCCGCACCCGCAGGGGGAGGGAGCGGAGAGTGGGGGGAGGGAAGAGGAGGAGAAGGAGGAGGAGGAGCGGGCGGAGGCCGGGAGCTGCACGGCGGGCAGCGCTGGACGGGCACCGCGCGGCGGAGAGCGAGCGCGGAACCCGCACCGCACCGCGCACCTCCGCTGCCCGCAGCCCCGCGGCGGAACGGGCGTGGAGTGTCCGAGCGGCCCCGCCCCGCCCCGCCCCGCCGGGCCGACGTGGGCTCGGGCAGCGCGGCCCCGGGGCGGCGGCGGACATGGCGCTCGGGTGTCGCCCCCCACCACACCCGGGGTTCGCCCCGCGGAGGTCCCCGCCGCCCCCCGGCCCCGCGCAGCGCCGTGCGGGGGAACGGCGGAAAGGACGGCGGCGCCGGGGCGGTGCGGAGCGCCTCGCGGTGTACGGGGACCGAGACAGGAGGAGGGCGGCCGAGGCCTCGGGGCTGCGCTCTGCCGCTCGGGAGGGCACTGAGCTCGGGAAGGCCCGGAGGGAGGGAACCGCTCCCGCGGAGTGGGACGATGCGGGTTCTGCCCCGCACCGCACCTCCCCACCGCCTCCGGGCTGCGCGCGGCCCCGTGCGCTGCGGCCGCACGGAGCCGGGACTCCAGGTTCGGAGGCCGGAGCTGCCCCTCGAGCTCCCGAGGCGCTGCCCTATTTGCGTAGCAGTGCCGTTAATGCCTCCCGGTTCGCGGTGCCCCATCCCGCAGCGCTCGGGGTGAGTGGTGCAGGCTCCAGCACAGCTCTGCTCCCGCTGCTGTCACTTGGAAATGGCCCACGCTTCGACATCTCCGGGCTGGGACAATCCATACCCGGGAGCTCTGAAAGGTGCTGCTAAAAAAATTCTGCGGCTCTTCCGAAAAAAAAAAAAAAAAAAAAAAAAAAAAAAACTCGTAAAAAACAGACGCTCCTTAAAAATGGGGAAATCTGAGGAATACGAAGCATCCCCCATGGGATTGAGGTGCTAAAAACTCTACGGGGCATCCTCCATTGGGTGAAACATGAGATCCTGACAGTTCCACGGGACAGCTCCCCCAGGCCCCACCGCGAGCCCCGCTCCCCTCCCGCAGCCCCCCGCTGCTCTGTGCTCCCTGTGCTGTGCACGGGGTTCATCCCACCCCACGTGTCCCCACTGCACAGCACTGCCCGAGGTGGAGCCGTGGCGGCTGGAGCGGCGCTGGGGCTCTGTGCTCGGGGGGCCATTGCTGCGGGGGCTGCTGGGCTTTCTGTGGGGCAATTCCTACAGCTTCAAAGAGTGAGGCTGCATCCACAGCCGGGCAGACGGCTCAGCTCGGTTTTATTGGCGTGCGACAGCAATAAAAGGTGTCAGCTCCCACCGCAGACCCCGCCGTGCCGTTTTCCATCCCAGCTACAGCTACAGAATTATGACTTCTCCCACTGAAACGGCTGCCGCCGCCTCCTCCTCCTCCCTGCATCCCAACCCCTTCATGGCTCTGTGCTGGGAAGGGTGATCCCTGCTCCCAGCTGTGGGCTGTGCTGCTTTGTGCCATCCACGACTACTGCAGGGAGCTCAGACCAGGGCTCGTCCCTGCTGTGTCCTGCAGGAGGTTCATTGCAGGAGGCCGAGGTGACAGTCACTGCACTGCCATATCCATCCTTCTTCCTTGGCCTTAGAAGACACTGCAAAGCAATAGAGGTTTGGGATGCCTGGGACGTGGCACAGCTCTGAGCCTCTCCCTGCTGCAGCTCAGCTGTCTGCTGTCCCATCCCCAGGTCTGGCTTCAAGAGGCACCGAGCGCTCCTAATTGTGATCGCAGACAAAGAGAGCCGGCCTTTGAAGGCTGCACACGCGGCGTCTGGCAGCACGTGCCTGCAGATCTGCCACGCTGCCGGCAGCCCCGGGGACACGGGGAGCTGGAGGTAGGAGCACTGCTGGTGCCCGGCTGTGGGATTTGCCCCGGGCTCTGGGAGCAGCTCCCAGCCCAGTGCCGTGCCCAAAGGCTGACGGCACCCAGCAACGAGCTCCGTGTCGGCCACCATTCACAGTGCTGGCAGCGTGTGGCTGCATGCAGCTTTGTGTCCAGCCTTTGTCTTTAGGGGACATTCGGCCCCATGGGAGGTTTTGGGACCAGCCATGCGTCGGTATCACACTGCTATCCCAGGACTGTCACCCTCATCCCTGCTGGCAAGCATCTCTGTGGATGCAGAGCCCCGAGAGGTACAGGTGGCAGCTGGGGTGCACTTACTGGGGGGATGCAGGGGCTTTCCCCTAACTGCTCAGCTGCCTGGGGACACACGGGGACAAGGGGACATGGGGACACGGGGACACTCGGGGTGTGGGGACAGTTGGATATCTGTCACCTCCAGGACACCCAGCGAGTGACACTGCGGCGCAACCCAAGTGACCCGAGCAGCAGTGACAAGTCTGGTGGCCAGCAGCCCGCATCCCCCCGCCTGCTACCGACCTCCATGAGGAAGCACATTGCCACCACAGGAGCCACACGGGTGGCGGCCGCCTGTCCTCAGGGGGATCGGCACCACTGCAGGCACCAGGGTCCCGGCTCCGGCATCGCAGCGGCAATCTCTCGCGCAGGTTGTGCCGTGCTGGATACGGCATCTCCATGGAAACCCTCCCGCTCAGGCTGTGCGGGCTCGGGAGATGCCATCTCCACGGAAACGCGGGGCTGTGCAGGCCGGGATGCGCGGACCGTGCCTGGATGCTGCGGATAGGGGCTGTCCTGAGCTATGGGGTGACGTGGGATGAGCGGTGCCGCTGCTGCGGCTGGAGGGAGCCCGGGGAGGAGGGGACAGGGATGGCACTGCGGACCCCAGCATGGGGGAGCTCCGCCGTGAGAGGGAGCGGTGCGGGACCGGCTGATGGCCACGGGGGCCCCGTTACAGCCGGGGGGACCCGGGGTTGATGCCGGCAATGCCATAGCATGGGAAGCCGGGGGGCCTCCGGCGGGGGCTGAAATTTCACCCTGAGGAATAGCCCGGATGAAGTACTTTGCAGGTTATTTATAGCCTCCCCTAAAAAAAAAAAAAAAAAAAAAAAAAAGAAAGAAAGAGAGAAAACAACAACAAAACCCCCTTTATTTCTTGACTTTAAATCTGCCTTTTCCATTCATTCCGTTCTCGAGGGACACGCGCAGCCCCGGCACCGGATGGCCAAATCCCCCCCCTCCCCAATCCCTCCAGGAGCTCCCCATGGGGTCTCCACGCCGGGCACGGCCGCTCCGGGCTCGGCTCAGCTCGGCTCGCTCCCTCCGGCCCCGCTGGCAGCTCGGCCGCCCTCACCCGGGCTCCGCGCGCTGTAAACCTGGCTTTGACGTCGCCCGGAAAGTAGGCCAGTAAGAGCAAACTGCAGCCGCTCGCAGCAGCCCTCTCCGGGGACGGCGTGCGCATTAGCAACACCGCTGCTCTCCGGGGGTTCCGCGCTTGGTGGAGGACCGCGGTGTTCTCTCGTCTCGGTGCGTTCGGACTCGCCCGAGCTCCTGGGGCGCTGTGCGGTACCGGCAGCTGCCCGGAGGGATCCCCAGCAGCCCCTTCCTGCAGCGCCTTTGCAGCTCCTGATTTATTTTTTTTTTAATTAAAAAGCGAGCACCGATGTGGCTGCGCTCTGTAGCCTTATTTCTGTGGGGGTGTCGGGGTGATGTGATCTACCCTCGGCACGGGGGCAGCCCGGGGGGGGCTGCACGGGGCACAGTGTCCTCAGCAGTGTCCCCTGCTGCTGCTGGGTCCTCCTGTGACCTCCCCCCCGTCACTCATAGCAATGCTTTCTCCATTTATTTTGGAAGTATTTCCGGATACTGGAAGCCTCAGCCCAACTCCTATCTGGCCATTCCTGGATTAGGCACCGGCAGCCAAAACTCAGCATTGAAGCTGCCTTCAGACTGAGGAGCTGAACGCCAGCAGGTCTGTGTCACTTGCTCAGGTGGGCACAGCCTGTGACAGCCTTTAACTCTGCTCTTCTGCAGGGATCTGAGCACCCTTCAGTCTGGATGGCCTCAGTGCTCCCTGAGACCAGCACCCAGAGGCCCTAACAGTGCCACCATCACCACAGTGCCTCTGCCATGGGGGAGCTGAGAAGGCCCCACGGCCTCTGTGTCCCAGGCAAGACACCCCACCAGGGAGGCTGAGCTGGCTGCAGAGGGGCTGCAAACACCTCAGCCCAGGCACTGCCTTCCCCCTGGCTCCAGGGCATTTCAGGTTTTACTAAAACAAACAAATCCTGTGACATCCCCAGGGGCTGTCAGCAAAGGTTTCCAACAGCATCTGGGGCAGAAAGAAGCTGGGGTTGGACCTGGGGGCACCAGCCCTGCAACAGGATCCTTGGCATCGTGGTATGGAAACAATTGCCTTTTCCTTTCATTTTTTTTTTTTTTTTTCAGCCCTGTGCTGTGTTTCCCAACAACACAACTGCATTCCTGCCCATAGTGAGCTTTAACTAGCAGCCCCAGGGCACTGCATGGGGCTGGTGATGCCCCAGCAAGGGCAGAAGGGCAGCATCCACTCTGTATCCCTCTTAC